CAGTGGTCAAATTGTTTATCCGAACGCAGTTATTTTATGTTGTCTCTCTAAATCATAAGCACCCATTTTTAATAATTAAAATTTGTTTCAAATAAAAAATATTAATCACGAAACAAAAAAATTATATATTCAAAATATTAATATCATCTAATAACTTAATATTTACTTAAATATTAGTGGAGCAACTTAATGCAGCATACATATTACAAAGGTTTAAAAAAAAGGCAACACATTTTGGATAATGATACACCATCAAAATAAAATTTTTGCAGAGTGCTTATCATAGGCAGAGTATGTGGAGGAGTGAGTATCATAGGCAGAGTGACTTCTTGTACTTTACTTGGCCTCTCAAACTTGCAAGATTAACAGGGCCGGCTGGAAGGGTGGGCAGGATGGTCATTGGGACAGGGGCCCAGGTTATATACGGATTGTACAGTATATTTTTATATATTTACATTTCTTTGTTTAATGTTTATAATAAAATACAAAAAAAAGTAAAGATTAAGCTAAGAGAAAGTGGCCTAGTGGGCCAAAATTATCTACATACGGAATTAGGGATCTAATGCTAATACCCAAACGACCAAACCAGTAGCCATTAAGGTATGCAATAATGTTAATTATCGTTACTATAATGTTATTTAATTTGATATTATTCTTCTTTAATTATTCTTATTACTATAATGTTAATTATCGTTAGATACATTAATTGATAAATTTTATTATATTATGACACAATGACCCATTTTCTGTGTGTCGTACAGGGCCCTTAATTTCTTGGGGACGGCCCTGAAGATTAAGACAATTCCCTGCTCACCAATACCAAAAGACCCCCATTTCAAGAAAACAAAAACAGGATAAACCAACACAAGTTAGGCAAATAAAGTTGTTAGCGTATATTTAGTTATTTATTTATTTCCTTGTATGTATTTATTTCCTTGTAAGTAATACTTGGTGGCAAGTCCCCTTTTGAAGTTCTTAACCATAAAGCCCCTGATCTTAGTCATCTCAGAATTTTTGGGTGTTTATGTTTTGTTCGCATTAAAACCACTAACAAATTTCATCCTCGTAGCACCAAGTGTATGTTTGTTGGGTACCCCTCTGGCACCAAAGGCTGGCGTGTGTATGATCTTGATAACCATTGTTTCTTTCACACTCGGGATATTGCTTTTGACGAGAGCACCTTCCCGTTTGCCACCCATCGCACGTCGGCCGAACCCCCTACCCCCATCCCATACGCCGATTTTCCCGAAATGCCCCAGCCCGCGTCATCCCTGGTCACTCCCGTCGGTCCACTGCCGGCGTCTGTTCCCGTCGAGCAGCCCGACCAGCCGATCCCAGGGAACGCACAGCCTTCCGATTCCAACCCAAGCCCTTCCGATACAGCCGTCGTTCCTTCTCTTCGTCCGCAACGGCAGCGTCGTCAGCCCTCCCACCTTAGTGATTGCATCGTCAATTCTGTTCAATCTCACGCTCCGATGTGTTCGCCGCCTCCCCAGTCCTCTTCTTCAGGTACACATTATCCTATTGCCAACTTTGTTTGTTATCATAAATTACATAACAGGTATCGTGGTTTTCTTGGCGCCATCCGTCCGCACTTTGTTCCCAAAAATTATGCTGAGGCTGTTCCTCATGCAAACTGGCGGGCGGCTATGCAAACGGAGCTATTGGCGTTACAGAACAATCAGACTTGGGATATCACTACTTTACCACCTGATCGGACAGCTTTGGGGTGCCAATGGGTCTTTAAGACCAAATTCAACTCTGATGGCACTAAAGAACGGGACAAAGCACGACTGGTTGTCCTTGGCAACCATCAGACTTTGGGGGTTGATTACACAGATACTTTTGCTCCAGTGGCAAAAATGGGTTCNGTGATTACATCGTCAATTCTGTTCAATCTCACGCTCCGATGTGTTCGCCGCCTCCCCGGTCCTCTTCTTCAGGTACACATTATCCTATTGCCAACTTTGTTTGTTATCATAAATTACATGACAGGTATCGTGGTTTTCTTGGCGCCATCAGTCCGCACTTTGTTCCCAAAAATTATGCTGAGGCTGTTCCTCATGCAAACTGGCGGGCGGCTATGCAAACGGAGCTATTGGCGTTACAGAACAATCAGACTTGGGATATCACTACTTTACCACCTGATCGGACAGCTTTGGGGTGCCAATGGGTCTTTAAGACCAAATTCAACTCTGATGGCACTAAAGAACGGGACAAAGCACGACTGGTTGTCCTTGGCAACCATCAGACTTTGGGGGTTGATTACACAAATACTTTTGCTCTAGTGGCAAAAATGGGTTCGGTTCGAGTTTTGCTCTCTGTTGCCGCGGCACGAGGGTGGCATGTGCATCAGCTTGATGTTAACAACGCTTTTCTTCATGGTGATCTGATTGACGAGGTTTATATGCGTTTGCCACCTGGTTATGCACATCTTTATCCGGGAAAAGTGTGTCGTCTGCGGAAGTCTTTATATGGATTGCGTCAATCACCCCGCAATTGGTTCGGGAAACTTACATGTGCTCTCAGGCGCTATGGCTTCCGCCAGGCTCATGCGGATCATACTCTTTTTATTCATCGTTGTGGACCGGATATTTTGGTTGTTCTAGTCTATGTTGATGACATTTTGGTTGCAGGTAACAATTCCACCCTTTGTGCTTCGTTCAAAGCTTATCTGCATCGATGTTTCAATCTTAAAGATTTGGGGCCCTTGTCATATTTTTTGGGTATTGAGTGTGCCCGTTTTGCGACGGGTATCGTTCTCTGTCAACGCAAGTATGCTCTAGACATCCTCAATGAAGCGGGTCTCTTGGGATGTAAACCGGCCGATAGTCCTATCACCCCAAATCACGGGTTGAGCCGTTCTACCAGTCCCGAGCTGCGTGACCCAGCCCAGTACCGCCGGCTTGTGGGTCGCTTGATATATCTGACAATTACCAGGCCAGATCTCTCTTACTCGGTGCATGTCTTGTCCCAGTTTATGCATGCCCCACGGCTCAACCACATGGACGCCGCCCGACGTGTTCTTCGTTATCTAAAGGGTCATCCGGGACAGGGGATTCTTCTACGCAGTGATAGTTCTCTTCAGTTCTCTGCATATTGTGACTCTGATTGGGCGTCTTGTCCACTTACCCGACGTTCTGTAAGTGGCTATTTTATTCTCCTCGGTGGTTCTCTGGTCTCCTGGAAAACTAAGAAGCAAACCACCGTGTCCCGGTCCTCGGCGGAGGCTGAGTATCGCTCCATGGCTAATGCGTGTGCAGAAATTTGTTGGATTTGGGGTCTTCTTGGGGCACTTGGCGTGACCCCTCCTACGACGCCACGCTTGTTTTGTGACAACAAATCTGCTTTATTTATTGCTGCTAATCCTGTTTTCCATGAGCGCATGAAACACATCGACATTGATTGCCATATTGTTCGAGAGTGTGTACAGCGCGGTGAACTTGTCACATCTTATGTTCCTACTCGTCTTCAGATTGCTGATATCTTCACTAAAGCCCT